GCATAAATGTGCCTTTTCCACTTAAATGCCCCTAACTTTGTTTTTTAGGTAGTCCCGCATCATACAATTTCTCATCAATATTCTGGGCTCCATCTTTAAAAATATATTTTTGTACGACGGCACGCTTTCGAAACGACTCAAAGAAAAGAGCAAGACATTACGCGGGGAAAATGTCGTGATTCAAGCAGTAGAAAAACTTTACGCAAGATTTAAAAAGATTTAAACTTGCAGCCGATTAAACCAAAAACCGCGTAACTGTGTCTCACATTGTCTAATTGGACGTATTTCTATCAAACGGAACTATGTGCATTAAGACATGAGCCTTAAGACCCACAAGGATATACGCATAACAGGGCTCACATCATGATGCACATAGTTCCGTTTGACAGAAATGCGTCCAATTACCTCTCATGTTTTATTTGTTGTAAACATAAAACTAAACAACACAACGGTTTGATATTTTCTTTGAAGTTTCCTTGCATTATGTAGAATCTACTTTCACAGTCTTTAGTCATATGTTGCCTACTGTCACCGTCAATATAAACGAAGATGAGAGTAAATTAGACAGCATCTGATTTTGTAAGCAGACTGATTCTGGTTGAAGTTGATTGTTATCCTGAATCCACGCAACAATTACTCACAGATCGTTCATGTACGGTCTCTTTCTTAAAAGTCTACAGCACTAATGTTTAGAAACTTTGTGAGGAGAGAGACACAAGTCAAATATGTAAAACGGTAAACATTTCGTGTACTCATGCAATATGTATATTAATTTTCGGGGACACAGCCTGCAGCGAACCCTGATGATGGGGCTCCATTAGCTCCGAAACGCGTCCTCTACGTAGCAATTGAGTACGCGAAATTTTTATCTTTTTACACTTATGATTAGGCCGCCAGAAGCGCCTTCATTAACCATAGATGCAACTTAACATACGTAGCGAAATCGCGAGACTACGCAGTAACCAAGTACGGCAGTATCCCTCAAGTTTAACTTTTGCTTTTGCAATGACATAGTTTTTAGCACTAACTAGCAATTTGACTTCTTGCCGGAAACTTGTGTTGGTACGTCACGAATCCATTGTCTGATTAATTGATGTCCGTTTGGTACCAAAAACCGAATATTGGTCTGATGATCATGTTAACACTTAAGTAACATTACTTGGGCACTTTACTTTTCTATTTAGAGGAAATTCTCATTAAAAATTCAAATTGGGTTCTACAAGATGCAGGACGGTGGTTGACGCTGTAGATTTTCTCCTTTAGGGAATTACGACAATTCATACTGCACTCTGACTTTTATTGCATTGATTGCAAGAGAACCTGACTACATTATTTTGGATTAAGTTTAAATTTTGTTAAATTTAAAAAAAAAAGAAAGAAAGAGAGAGAGAGAGAAGGAGCTTGTGAAATCACCGAAGTTATTTCATTGACACTTCCAAGTCGTTAGCTTTAATTTCCCTTATTTTTTGTTTTTACAGATGTCGAGTATACAGTCACCCGTCACTTCCTGAAATTAGATAGCACCGACTCTGAAGACCCTCAATTTACAGGGACAGATTCAGGTGTGATCAAGCTGCAAGCTCTTGAAGACATGATGTCTCCAGAGAACGACTTCTTACCAGTAGTTTATGAAGAGAATGTTATGAGGCCGCACCCACTCGTCAGATGGTATGGTCTACGAGACTTCATCACCATTGTTCCTCCGTCCAATCAGCCAGTATGCAATGAAGGCCGCATAAAAATGCTGCTCAGTTCTTTCTGCATTGCTCTTAATAATAGTGAATGGTGAGACATTTTTTCACTTGTTTGATCTTTAGTTTTTTAAGGGTGGAAAGGAAGGATTTACATCTGGTAAGCAGACATCGAAAGTCGGTTGTCCTTTCCTGTTCGACCAGATAGATTAATCATATTGATTGTGAAAAATATCGAAAAGATCTACTGCAATCAGGGTGTTTTATTTCGACGATCTGTTTGTTAAGTAAATTTTGTCCGTACTTGTGATCATAGAATAACACTCAAGTGACTGTCTGCAGGGAATGGGGCCTTAGTCTTTGGAAGCAAAATCTTCCAAGCATTGATTGTAGTTGAGTCCGGTCGGAAAATCGAATTTATGGTCTCGACAAGAAACGCTCCATGTGTCCTAAATAATAAGTTTTAAGCGCTTCAGTACATTTTTGTGTCTATGAAGAATGTAAAATTGTACTATACCTAATCTAAAAATTTCGTGGCTTGAGCAAGGGAGTTCAAAATTCTGAATAACGTTTCTGCAAGTTTCAATTTCTTTTTCTTTTATATTCCATGCCAAAAACTTGTGGCTATGTAAGAAAAGGCACCATGAAAGTTTTCAAATTACCAGGAACTCTTAAAAGTGGCGCGTTTATTCATCACTTCGATTCGTATTAGTTTCTTACTTCATAGAGATTACCTCTTTTTTCTTTTTCTTTTTCAGCAAAATTCCTTTGTTCATTCAAGCAAATGAACCGTGGCAGAACTTCTACTTGGGGATTTGCGAGGGAAAAGGAATTCGAGCAGAGTATGAAACGGCGCATTTAAGGCATATTCCACAAGGCTGTAAACATCTAACAGGTCTGTGTATTTGGATCTATTTAAAATATACATCTAACCATAAGCCATAGAAGTTTGTCTTGAATCGACTTACAACCTATAAAATTCATCAGGAAGCTTTCAGTACAAATAGATTCATGAATAATAAGTGTAATGTACAAATACATTAGAGGATGTCTGTTTTAATCTATGATTTCTATTCTTTTTTTACTCGAATTTCAAGTTTACTTATACGATGAATTTAAAATGAAGAATGCGTTGATTCAGTGCTGACAAGCAGATTTGATCTGTCTCTGGAAAACTATATCTCTTCTCATATGAATTTATTTTATTCAAACAGTTTTCTGTATTTTCATGAACAAAATTTAGTTTTATTTTTGAGTGGGATTTTTAAATTGACAGAGTCTTATGTCAAGTATAACTCTTAATTGTCCACCCATGAACTTTTTTTTTGGAAATATCAATCTAATCTCCTGTTTCCTCTGAAATGTTAATGAAGAAACATATCTTGGAGCAAAAATGAAACAGGTGAAACAAGCAGTGAACTCCAACACAATGTGTTGATAAGGCGCGTCATTAACTCGCACATATCAACCCCTTTAGTTTTCATTTACAGAGATTTCAAAATAGGCAAACAGCATAAAAAGAGAATTCACGATCCAACATTGCGAGGTCAAAGACGCACCTTGACGAGNCCTGTTTCCTCTGAAATGTTAATGAAGAAACATATCTTGGAGCAAAAATGAAACAGGTGAAAAAAAGAACCTAAGAAATCACTGTCCAACTGGTCAAAAGTAATGTATGGCGTCTAGCAATGCTGAAAACCAAAAAAGTTAGAGAAAGTCAGAAAGATGAAAATGGTCAGGGATGAAAACGCATAATCAGAAGAGTTGTGAGCCTGAGCTCCCCCATGATTGTGATTTTGCATAACTTCCGAAGGTTTTAATTTTGAGCCACGCAGCACTCTCTCCTTGTCTCTAGTGAACTTTTCCCCCCCAAAATTTGAACCCCTGCTGATCTATGGGTACTGGTGCTTTGTGCTGAGCTATATTTGCGTTCCTGTTGATTCGGAGATTTTCAGAGAGAATTAGGAAAAATCAGGGAGATGGAAAATCTAAAAAATTAGAGAGAAGGGAAAGAACATTTTGCGTCAGATTGTTTTAGTACCATTTGTCCTGGTAATCCATTCTCTTGAAATTGCATCAATTCTCTTGTACATGAGTCAAATATTTTTTATTGGCAAGGCCAACCATGATTGGTTCTCAAAACACTACCATCATAATGCTATATTGTGACTAGTACAACAGACCTATTTCAAAGAAAACTAAAATCGTCAATGTCAGCATATTTTCAAATCTTACTTTCTATTTTCTAGGAATTTTGCACGTTTTCAAGTCGAAGATCGGCAGTCCAATTCCCTTAAACTCAACGATAATATCTGCTAGATTCTCGTACTCTTTGCACAATTGGACGAGTTTTGTCTGGCAAATAGAACCTCCAGATTTTGATTCAAGTTATAACGATGCACAACTATTGAGTCAATTACCTTTTGGTACCACTTTCGACCCTGTCAGGTAATTTGTCATTTTCTAATTCTTAAAGCAGACTTGAAATGTAGACAGCTGCAAGACACTCAACTCTCTCCTAAAGAAAAAATTGCTCAAAATAATTTCCTATAGAAAAGATTCTTCAGAATTTCTAATTTTATCATCACCATTCAGAACATGCAAATAATGCAATGTTCAAGAATTTTGTCAAATTGCTACAAGATGAAAAATGTTGAAAATAAAAACAAGGTTTAAAATAATGTGGAATTATTGTTTCAGGAACATCATTTGCAGTTTTCATCAACAGTTCCCTTTTATGAACTTTGGCAATCCATCAATTTTTTCAACGCGTATCCTTAATAACTTTTTAAACTATTGATAACTGAATGATTCCAGAAAAGTCCTTCAATACGTACTTTAGTGGGCTCAACTCTTCAATTGAATATCCATCAGGATGATATCTTGCTAAGACTGCTTTAAGATAAGTTTAGTCCAAAAAAAGAGAAAAAAATCCCTATTTTTTCAGGTTGAGTTCATATCAATGGTGAAAGTTACGAAACACCTACCCCAATTCTACTGTTTCAAAATCTCTTGTGTTTTTTTCTCTCCTTAAAGGAAAACATAAGAACTCTATTTTCCAGCATTTTCATAGAATATTTTGTACAGAATAAAAAAAAAACCCAGACAAACTCCTTGTGATGTTGCATCGTAGTTTCCTTTTGAAAAAATCAAATTTGATGACAAATCTGCAATGCCACAAATTGGAACAGGTGTTTTGCAACTTTCGCAATTGAAATTTTATCGAAAGCATGAACAATTTCTTTTATTTTTATCGTCCTTATCATTTTTATGAAAAACTAAACATGTTCTTTCATTCCATTTCAAGTCTTATAATCTGAAAATACATCTAAATCTAAAGTGAGAAATTCTTTTGACGCTTTCTATCGTATATCGAATCTTAGTAATTTGCTTTCTTTGTTTTCAGTAAGTTGATGTTGTACGTCTCATGGCCTGAACTGTTTGAAACTTCTGTGGTAGACAGTGAAAGTTACACCGACTTGGAGCCTCTACAAGCAAAAGATTGGTCCGTCAGCGTTAAATATTATGAGAACCCTTCTTGCTTACTGTCTGATGCCTTGACTGAATTTTTAGGAGTTTGCTCTGGAACTAGAACTGTTCAGGAATTGATTGGTGATATTATTCAGAGGAATCAAGCCCAAGGTATTATTTTTTTGTCTGGTTTTTCTTTATTTTTGCTCTCCCAAGCTATTATTCCAGACCAAGTACTTATGAAATTTGTTCGGTGTATCATTTTCTTTAAATGCCAAATCATTCATCGTTCATCCATCATTTTCTTTAAATGGCTTTATGTAGCCAATATTTCTATGAAATGAAGAAATGAGTATATCTCATGAAGAATTTTGTCAATTTATACAGACGCTCAATTTTTTTTTTTAACCTCCAATTTATTATGTAACTTATCAACGGCATAAGTCTGCAATCACCTATCTCGTTTGCGGTGTCTGAAAATCTCCGCGAATTTTCTTCACACAGGGAAGATAAGTCAAGGCAGTTTTAAAGAATTGCTGTTGAGTAGTTTTCTGTTACAAAAATAAAGTATGACAGGAAGTCTGCGGTGTCGCAAACCGAGTTATGTGATTGCCGACTTACACCGTCAACATGAAGGGCATTATAGGTGAAGGAGTTAGGTGACGTTTTCGTGATTTTGAGAGACAAATAATTAAATTTGAAGAGAAGCATGGTTGCTTTTGATGCATGTGATTTTTGAAATGATACATTGAGGCAAAAAAAAAAAAAATGATGCATATCGAGCTCAATTTCCTGACAAATGAGGAAAAAAAACACTACAAAGGACTTTCCTGACAAAAAAGAGATGTTTTACTTGGAATAATGGGTCAGTTGCGCTGGTCACGGAATCATGTTTTGATGCTTAATTCTTGTTGATTTGCTTAAAATAAAAAGATCTGTCCAAACCGTACCTTTCTACGCTCAATATTAAAGACCCTTTGAAAAGTCGGGTTTTTGACGTCATCCACCGCGGCAGTGACACCTTTGGTTTCTTCCTCTTCTGACCGACTAATCTCTTCACGGCGAAAGTGTTATCTCCTGATAAGATCTTTAAAGTGCGAATCTGTCTGTTCTTGAGTTTGTTTACGTTTAACATTGTTGAAGTTTTGTGTTGCACCCTCTGCATCACTGATCGAACAAAAGAGGAAAAAACCAAGGGTGTCACTGCCGCGGTGGATGACGTCAAAAACCTGAGTTTTCAAAGGGCGATATCTCGGTTAATATTGAACGTAGAAAGTTGGGGTTAGGACAGATCGTATTATTTTCAGCTAATCTACAAGAATCAAGCATCAAAACACAATTCTGTGACCAGCGCAACTGACCCATCGAAATTTAACCATCTCATTTTCCCCAGATAATTTTGATTGACTCCTCTGTCAGTGACATCCTTCATCAGATTTGCATTTTTTTGAGAACTGTGAATGCCAGATTATTTAGGTACTCAGCATTTTTGCAGTATTCTCTTATTATTTATTTTCTTATTGTTATATTAATAGTTTTTGATGTTATTTCCATGTATTTATTTCTCAATTTTGGTCAGCTTTTCCCTTTATACCCCTGTTTTTCAAACATTTTTCTGTTACATTTTCAGCCCTAGATCCTAGCATACCCTTATCTGTGTTATCGGAGTCAAAAGTGCCCACTTTTTCAAAAATACTAAAACAAGCTGCCAGCACTATAGATTATGCAAGGAGTAAAGAAGGGCCAATCTCAGAAGAATTGCTCATTCGAATTTTGTACTACCTCTTTCCAGACGCAGAGAATGAGCAGGTATTTTATATCATCTTTTCTATTCTTTGAATGAGGACTGCTTTTTCCGAGGAAAAAGAAGGAGGTTATTTTCAATCAACTGGCAGATGTTAGATACCATCTGCAAACTGGTTTTTTTTTTTAAGTTAGACATTCCAAGAGAATGAGTCAAAGTCACAAGAAATTGGCTTGCAAAAGACTACCTCAACCAAGTTTTAAATGAAACGAAAAACGGAGAACTTTTTGTTAGTAATTGCAGTTAACTCCTACATCTCAAAATTACTATCAAATCAACGTCTACTTTGCTGTCAAATCTCGATGGAGGAAAAAAAAATTAAAAGAGATTTTAAGATATGGACGAGTTCCATAGCTGCAGTATTTATAAAATAGAACAATGTGTAAGTAATTTACCTCACTGCTGCCTAATGTATGATCCTCTTATCTTCAAGATCCTTGGTCTTTTCAAGATAAAATTTGGGAGAATAATACCGTGAAACACACTGAGTGTCTTTTTTTAACGTGTTTAAGGCCGCTTCCCTTGTCTGGTAGAACTTGTGTCTCTGTTTAAGAGATCAAGATCGATCCATTCAACTAATGCTTTGGACCGATTTTTTAAATTTTTGATTATTTGTTGAGCTCAAAACCACTCCTGAATCATTTCCCTCCAAAAATGTGATTTGGTACGTTTTTTTATAAACCTCGGTCCATTTATGATGATTTCTTAGCACATGAATTTGCTCATAGAGAAATTAGTGAAGAACTAATGAAGTGAAGCTGTGAATGAGTAAGCGGAGCGTGACAAATGTTATTATTATAACTTGAACTCCAGTGCCTTATTTTCGAAGAGTGACCTAGCTGTGTTATGTTCTCAGTTGTTTTAAAAATGTTATACATTATTAATTAGTTGGTAAATTTCATTTAACCGAGCTATTCTTTATCTTTTTTTTTCATCTGCAGAAACATCCCTACCCGGAAAGTTTTCCTACCATCTGCGGGAAAGAAGACACTTCGGAATCTAGTGTGAGTATGTTTCTTTTTCCTCTTAGTGCCCCTAATCGAACTCTCCCATTGAATTTCAAGGCGTCACAAGTAAAGAAGCGACTTGTTCATTCATCATTTCAAGAAAGAATACCCATCATTGATTTCCCCATGTAGATAGGTGCTATAATAAGTAAAGTAGGAAAGATTATTTATTTTTGTGTAATGACCCTCAAGCTTAATCGGGCGATTGAAAAGGCATCCTTGAGCTGATGTCTTGATGATGAAGTCTTGAGCTAATTAAGTTCTATGGCTGACATTCAAACTAGTGCTTGCACAACCGAAAGACATGAATTCTCAACCCCCTAACTTTTTATCACATTTCTTGCTCTAGTGAGAGCATGGTTTATCATAAAAGGTAAATGTGCAGTGCTATCTATTGGTAGTGAGTTTGTCAATGTTACAAAGTTAAGGAGCACGGTCCAACTTGGGGGTGCACAACGGCAGTTGCCAGTTGCCTTAGCCCCTTGAGGGCGCCTCGCTGGTCAGCCCGGCTCTTACTTATTGGTAGCGAGACTAATTAAAGATTTGAATTGTTGTTGTCAGGCTGTGCTGTCGTTATTGTTAAAAAACAACATTTGGGATTCAAAGGCTTAAATATTTGTTGACCAACAAATGAGTGTAAAAAATTTGTGGTATTTTCAAGTATGTAGGTATTAAATCTACTGCACCAAAAGGATTAGTTCTTGTCAAATGAAGTGGAAAGTATTTTAGAAAATTTTATATGATTAAATCTGAAAAATACAAGGCATTGAAAATGTCCGCTTCTTTGAAGGTAACTTCTGAACACTGACTTGAGATAATTTGTTGCTGCATTTAGAAAGTTTCATAGAGCTGTGTTCTGTAAAATGCCCCAACTGTTTTAATTCTTTTATGCATTTTGAGTCTTCATCTCTCTCACTTTTTTTAATTTTTAAAAACATTCTAATGATGTTTTGTCTCACTTCTTTGAATGGCACCTTTTTTGTCAGTATGAACAGTCTTTTAAATTTTTACCAACAGACCGAGGCAACGTGGCTGAATGGTTTTAAGTCAGCACCAAGTGATAGTTTAGTCTGGCGATTAGCCACAGTTATGTGCCATGCAGCCCATTCGCTTGGAGGCGCGAAAGCTGTTGCGCATTTATGGTATGAGTTTACCCAAGAACTGAGATTCCGGTGGGAGCGGTGCATCTTCATACCAGGGTAAGTGAATTTTTTTTCAAAGTTAGTAATTGATCTATTCCTTTGAGTGGGTTTTAGCGTTGTTGCTCTCTTAAATCTTATATGATAGCGTTCTGTTTATGTGGGTTGACGGAAGTGAAGCAGATCTGAATGGACAAAACAGGGAACCATGCTCAAGGACAAAAAGAAGCAAGTACATTTGTGAGGGGCATATGACTGTGAAAGGTTTTTCTCAAGTGTGGGTTTTCTTTATTATCCTGTTTTTAGAATTTTTCCTTGCTTTTGTTTGAAGTCTTTCGGAATTTGATTTCATTCCGGAATTTTACATATATTGTACTTGACTTATCGGCTGAAAAATCATTGACAAGATAATCTATTACTATATAACCATGATTTGGATGATCGTTGTCCTGATAATTGCAACTGCAATGCTTTTTAACATGTTATTGGAACAAATATGAAACCAATAACTAACAGAAGGAAAGAGGACCTCTAAAAATGATGTATGAGAAATATTTACGCCAGTATTTATTTTTTTATATCATTAATTAATAATTAATATTATTTACAACAAACTAATGATTCGTAAAAAAATATGAACAATTATCAGTGATGAAAGTATGAGCTATCACAACAAAATAATTACAATAATCAAGAATCATAAACTAAAGATACTTGAAGCTGCATTTCGTTATCAATTGGGAAAAAATACTTGTATCTACAAGGAATTTCCGTTAATTTTCTTGTTAATTGTTTAAATTTTCAAGCATATGAAACTTTCATAGATGAGAACAGTTTTAAAAGTCATTAGTCAAGTATTAAGAATAGGAAATTAAGGACTGAGTGATCCTTTTTTTTTCTACATTGTGGTAATTTACATGTCACATTACCAAGTTCAGTATTATCGTTTAAGACCTTTAACAAAGAGAGTAAAAATTGTCCTTTCCAGCAAATATTTCTGTCACTCTGAGGTAATATTCTTTGAAGTCAACCAAACTATTGACTAGATTTAGTGAGTAGCTTAAACAATGGTAATCAAGTTCTTAGAAACTTACTTGCGTTGGAAAAGTTTGAAGGTAAATTGTTTTAAGACAGAAAAGACTCAAGTGTCTGCTTCTTGTTGCATCTCGTGATCGTATTATATTTACAATTTTTTAATGGTATTTTTCATTGTGTATTTTGATTTGCATGCATCATACCAGTTTCTTTGAGGTATGATCGTTAACTGTGATTAAATTAATTTAAATTTATATTCAAAAAAGGGAGAAGTTCTGTAAAAGTTCTGTTAATTACAAATTATTTACAATCATAATCCAAAATTAAGATGAAAAGTCTACCTAGCAGCAATGTATACAGGTGCTATTCGATACAATTGGTAATCGCTTGTCCAAGAACTTAACTTAGAGAAATATCTTTTATTAGAGATAATATTTTTAGCAGTATCTTCAGTTGGTAAGGTTCATGTTGCCTTTTTGGAAAAAAAAAATTAATTTAAAGAAAGTATATTACAAGGGAAGAGATCTCATAATGGGGGAAAAATTATCTACTCTGACAGCTCTGAGCATGCTGTCCGATTTTAGCACCCTCGTTTTGAAAGAATAGAAAGAAAATACCTGCCTCCTTTCTGTTATGCTCACTAGTTCTGGGCTAAATTCAGAGGGTTGAAAGAAATTCTGATTCTTGTAGACGCAATTTCCTTTGAAGCCTCAGAGTAACATATATTAAGGCACATTATGAAAACCTGATCGGTTATTTTCTATCACTGTCTGTGAGAGGAAAGCTTTAATATCTTGCTTCTGCATTGAGTCGCAAGAGTTTTTGCATTGGACCTGTACCTTTGGTCCAAGTTTTGGCAAGTTTCACTAGGAAAATGCAAATTTGATTCAAATGAGATATTTTCTTTTCCCCTTGGTTAGACAGGGAAAAATAGGAAAAGTGCCCTCAGAAGTTCCTTTCTTAAATGACTGTATCCATTGATATTTCCTTGCTCATTTATCTTAATTTTGGCAATAATTCTCCCATCTTATGTTTTAATAAGCTAAAGAACAATTAGGAAACCAAGAAACCCAAGGTAATGAACTTCAAGTACAAAACTGATGAATCAGAATGCAAAAACATAAATTTCACTTGAAATGAAAAACTCAAAACTCAAATAATGAAATTAAATGAAGTAAGTATTTCCGGGACCTCTATCCCCTTCTTAACTATTCAAAGAAGGTAACAGACATTACAGAAATTTATCCATTTATTTCACTCTGTGAGCTTTGATTTTTGTATTTCAATATCAACCTTCATTTTAATGCTCTGTTTTATCAATCTAATCAGTATTTGCATTTTCAAGTGAAACAAATCAAAACTGATAGCCAACGTCATGGGATCCTTCATTTAAATCTATCAAACTCACACTAAAAGGTCAGTTCTCATCATAGAGGTATGAGGCCCCCTCTGGCTGTTGGGTTTCTTGTCATGTAAATGTCCATGTCATGGTCGGTCCAGTTATCGGACGTATCTCCGCAGTAGTTGTTGAGCGTGTGCGTGCTGCCTGCCATACTGTAGCGACTGCCAGGTCTGGTGCCCATCTCTTTTGTTCGTGACCTGGGTCTCTGTCGCCGGGCTTGATGGTGGTGTGATGCGGCAGGGTAACTTGCGCGAGACATGCGGTCGGATACTGCTAGTGATTGACGACTTTGTCGTAACTCTGTTGACAAACACACATTTTATTCCTTTAGAGCACGAAAATTTATTTATTCTTAATTTGATGAATAGACAGACTGCTGCTACGGCATTTAGGGTATTTTGAGTGGTACAGATTTTGGACGTAAACTTATCCATGGCATTGTATTTTTTTGTGGTTTTCACGATCACATCAGTTTTTAATATCTCCTCAGAGATGTGGACACACTCTAATTAATGCAGCAAAAGAAAGAAATTTCAGGATGTGTACCATCAGTAAAATCAGAAAATTCGATGTTATTAGGAAAGTAGGTCGGATCAGGAAATTTTTGAGCGTTTCAAACATATTTCTAAAATTTGATTTAATTTTTTAAATATGTAAGCGTCTAAAATCAAACAAGTATCAATTATTTTGCGCAAAAATTCAGGAAATTTAATTTAAAATAACAGGAAAAATCAGAGGAATCCTAAATGAAATTTTCTTTAGACATACTGAATTAGCTTATTGTTGTTTAAATGAACCATTTTTCCTACTAGTTTTAGAGGTCCTCCATTGATGTGAAGCACAGTAGCAGATTTTTTAAATCGAATACCGATCAAATCCAAGTACAAAATTTGAATAATTTTTCTATTTAGAATACCACATTTTGATCGTGAATGATAAGTTATGTTCTTCCATTCTTTTAACTTTCAACAGGAATTCTCATTTCACATTTATGCTCAACTTTCTCTAATGTTCCACCAAAACATAAGTCAAATTAGAGTTTGTAATGAAGTGACATCAATTTTACCTGGTCTTGTGTTAACTAATCCTGAAGCAAAACTGTTGCCACCAGTTAAATATCTTGCCGAATGATTTGAGAAGCTGTGTTGTGACTGACCATCAGCAATTGAGCGAGTTTTCGATGGCTTTGAACCACCAAATTGTGACATGTGTGAATGTAGTTCATCTGTTGCACACCCTCGTGTCAATGTACCTAAGGTATGAACATAGTTTAAAATCAGTCAGTAAACTTTTTTCAATTGCGAGGAAAATTACCGTCAAGGGTGGAAACAAGTTTACACTTCCTCATATTTTTAATGATTGTCTTTGACGATGACGTCCTCAATGAGTCAAACATCTGGATACAAATAACTGTCTCCTGTTACATAGAGTCTTATGAGTCTTCAAAATACTTAATTACATTCCAGAAGGAAATAATTTTGATATGGTTTTGTCAAAGGTGCAGGGAAAGCAAAATCCACAATCCTGCGTAAATTTTGCAAGACTCTTGGAAAATCAAAAAGCTATTTTTTTTTATACATGAATACATTCCCCAGATCATTCAATTTCTCTTATTTTTACTATATTTGTTTCAATCATTCGGTGTGAAAAATGCTCAAGCTTCCTTTTGAGATTCAAGGAGAGCTTTAAAGAAAAGACTTGCTTCAAGGAGAATCAAAAGTAACATCCAATTATAATAAGAGACGTAAATGTATGTATTTTTCTTGGCTTAATAAACAACGTTTTATATCCTCAAGGAAAAAAATAAAGGTTTATTCTATCCGGTGTCATTTTGGAAGTAAAATTCTAAAATTTTATCTATAAAGCCAAAATTGCTGAAAAGTTGTACTTATGAGAGAAGCTTAAGTTGGCAATTAGGTTCTTGAACAAAATCTTCAAAAATCTTACCTTGTCTATCTACATAGTGCATTCTAGGCCTATTGATGCTTTTATTACTATAAACGGATGTCTGGTCCCAATCCTTATGTGATGCGAAGGCACTAAGAGTTGCCAATGATGACATTGGTCCGGGACTAGATGCAGGACAGCAGGGAACTGGTATTCCACCCACTGGTATACCAAGTTTACCACCATGCGATGGTATCGTTGCCATTTTTCTCGATCGGCGTTTGCAGGTCACTGCAAATATTACAGCCTGGAAAAATTCATCAAAACGTCATTACTGCATGGAAAATTCAGTCAAAAGTCTACTTTTAAATGAAACTGAGCTCCAATTTTAAAAAAAAACACTGAACAATGAACACTGACTATTTTTGGTATTTAAATCTGTAAACGCAAAATTTCTCTCTGTTTAACTTTGATGAAAGATGTAACCATGCTCAGTAAAATAAAGAAAACCATGACCATAAATACCATACTCAGTACGTAAAAGTAAGAAATTCAAGCAATATTGGTACTCTTGCAAATTGAAATCAGAAGATAGCTTTTTTTCCAGTTAACTAATGCCAACTAAATTTTATTAGAAGGAACCCAAGGGGGAAAACACAAGAAAGAAAGGAATTAATAAACATGCTAAGGCAGCAAATAAATTACAATGTGTAGTCTTTTAGTAACCTTTTCAATCAGTTGAATGTTCAGTGAAATAGTAGTATTTTTCTCATACTCTTTTATGGAGAAAAAATAAAATGGAAGACAAGATAATCAAGAGTAGTGATCTGCAATTGAATGCTTTTTTAATGAAAATCATAATGTGTCCCTCACCGCTATGACAATGGTGCCAACGATCGCAGCACTTGCTGCGATGGTAATTTTGTCCATATTGTTAGTGGCTGATGCAACAGTCCTCACTTCCTTGCATTGGTTGTATGGTACTGTTTCAGGAGTGACGTTGTTGTCTTCCAAAGAAATGACGCACACAATAATGCATTCCTAGCAGCAAAAACAGACATAATTAATTTAAAAGTGAGTTAAATTTTCAAGAAATGTTTGATAAAAATTATTCTATTTGATTTATTTTATGTCTAAGGGTAAACAATTTTTTGGATATCCTATCTTAGTCGTAAATTTAAGAAAGGTCAGTTAGGTACTATACTATGGCATTTAGAGGGAAGTATCTCCATTAATTTCAAAGAGAAAAAAATAGATTCAACTGAAAAGTAAGTAATAGAAACAAGAGAAATGCTTCAATTTTTGCGAAGCCGTAACACAAAAATCCTTATTTTAATCGATCACTTGTGACTTGAAACTTTTAACTTCACCACATAATGAAACTCTCCAAATGTAGTGAACTGCAAAGGTCTAAAATTATTTTTTTGTAATGCAAAAATTCAAAAATTCTTTGAGGAGAGCTCTCCGTTTTTCGATAAAATAACTTATTGCCTATCTATTTAAACAAAATTTTAGGATCGCCCATATTTAAGGGACACCAAGTAACATGCAATCAGTCTTGTCCCTTCTTGCATGAGGCAGTTAAAAAAAGTTTGAAAACTTCATCCCAAAAACTATTTGTGCAAGAGATATCATTTTCGAAGATTCTAAATGTTCTGTTGAATGTAGGCTCGTAAGTCAATCATCCTTTGTCCTTCTACTCATATAGTAGGAAAGTGTGATGTAGAGATTAAAAAAACAAATTGAGAAGTGACATTGCTAAGAAAATTTGAAATAAATCCATTACCTGAGACGGAACATTTTTGATTTTGAACTCTCGCTCACTGGCCTCAAGTGGTGGGCCTTGTTTGAAACTTTTATCACCAAAAAGCCGGTAGATGACTCGGAAACCAAGAATATTTGCTGTGTCTGAGTCCCACTGAATGATGACAGAGTTGTCTTGCCTGAGAGCGTTTTTAACAACAACCTCTTGTTGAGAAGATGCCGGTTGGTGTCCCAATACCAAGTTCGGTCTGTGCTGTTGTTGCCATGGAGGTAACTGAAAAGACAATCATTATCTTGATTCAAAGTTTATCACTCACAAGTATGGATGAATGGCTTAGTTAAGTTAGTCACAGATCTTGTTTTGAGTCATAAAATATTTCGGTGAACAACACTAAAAAGGTATATCCACGATTTACGCTGAAAAATTAACGCAATCCCCCCTTTTTTTTCTTAAAAAAAAAAAACAAAAAAAAAACGGCTATTCGCATGAGCACTACCCGGTAAAATTATAAGACTAATTTATCGTTGATTGGAACTCTTCGAAATTCGCAATTCTGAAATATTTTGACAGTTCTTTGTATGTCATTGTCTTTTTAATTGAATGTAAAGATATCCCGGGAGTGACTTTGAAGTTGTATCCGGGATTACAAGTTCTTGGAAGGTAAAGAAGTACTACATAAACGCGTAAAGTCACAAAGAGCTACGAAAATTCGTTGCTTACCCACTTTTTTCAAAATTTTACCCTTTTCTTTTAGTTTTTATTTCCGCAATTTAACAAATATATTAATTCATAACAATTGAACATGACATGCCTTAAACATTTAAGTCGATTAAAAATAAGGAAAATTATTTCTTTTTGTATGAATGTTTTTCCAACTAGTGGATCATGAATGTGGTCATACAGAAGAGGCTCTTAACCTCAATTTCTCGAATATTGGATTTATTTTTTTATTTCATGGACTGCAGTGTCAAAAATTAGGCTTGAAACGCATTTTCACTCTTCGCCAGTCAACAGCTTTGAAAATCCAGAGAGTGGTCAGAAAATCTCATGATTAAAAAAATCAGAAAATTTTGACTTCCAAGAAATCATGTCGTCACCTTCCGGCCAGGGTATCACAATCACCATGTGACGTTTAAAAATTTCCGCCGCCATTTTATTTTTTATACAGAAATTGCCCAACGAAGTTTTCCGAAAATTTCACTGAATTTTCTTTGTGCTGCCGATCAAATTCAGTAAAATATTCAAACGGATTCAACCAACAATTTTTCCGTAAAAAAATAAAATGGCGGCGGAAATTTTGAAATGTCGCACGGTGATTTTGATACTCTGGCTGGAAGGTGACGACATGTTTTCATGGAAGTCAAAATTTTCTGATTTTTAAAGCTTTTTAATCATGAGATTTTCTGACCGCTCTCTGGATTTTCAAAGCTGTTGACTTGCGAAGAGTGAAAATGCGTTTCAGGCCTTATTTTTGACATTGCAGTCCGTGAAATAAAAAAATAAATCGAACATTCGAGAACCAAAAGTTTAGAGCCTCTTCTGTATGACCACATTCATGATCCACTAGTTGGAAAAACATTCATACAAAAAGAATGTTCTTGCTTTTTCCTAATTTTTAAATCGACTTAAATGTTTGAGGCATGTCATTTTCAATATGTGCACTGGAAAAAAAACACACTGGATCTAGAGTCCAGACTCTTGAAAACATCGACAAGAAAAAGTACTCTTGATTCAATCGGATTTTTGCGTAAATTAAGAACCAAGCCTCTTAATTTGAGCGGATTTCCTTTTGATTTAAGCTTAAATCTGATTGAATCAAGAGTTCTTTTACTTGTCAATGTTTTCAAGAGTCTGGACTCTAGATCCAATGTTTTTTTCCAGTGTTCGTGATCCACTAGTTGGAAAAACATTCATACAAAAAGAATGTTCTTGCTCTTTCCTTATTTTTAAATCGACTTGAATGCTTGAGGCACGTCATTTTCAATATGTGTCATTTTCAATAATGTGATACTTAGGCCGGAAGGTGACGAGGTCATCTCAGTTTTCATCAGGTAAGCCCTGGATAGACGATCAAATTCCGATCAAAGTAGACATGCTGATGACTGGTGGTCACCATCTACCATCAAATTTTGACGGGCCGCACTTTTTTGTTACAAGTAAGATCAGAACGGAGTGCCACCATTCATCATTTCCTGCCGCAGGAAACATTTCTGCCAAGTTTTCATTTTAAAATGAAGCAAATTAATGAGTTTAAGACTGATGACTCCCGACGCTTTGATGCTACTTTGATCGGAATGAACCACTAGACAAGGTACGAATTTCAGCATTCTGATACATGTTTCTTAACTAAAATTTTACGTAGAACACGATATCCACATAGAAAATTACCGAAATTAACTCCTTACTAAGATATTTGATGATTCTTGATGTGTGAATTCAAACCACCCGCTCATTAAAACTCAATGCTCTACGTGATTCACATCGCGCGCTAAACGTTATCATGACAGTCTCTGCGATGTAAAAATCTGGCAACCTCAATCTTGACGCTTTGGCTCAGCTGTAGCAAATAGCTTATAGTTTGAACAACACATGGTGGAAAATGAACATTGCTCGATTGAGAGGCTTGCTGAAACCGTTGTAGTGCGCGATTTGACTCGCGTAGAGCTCTGAGTTTCTTGTGAGCGGGCAGTTCAAATTCCTTGTAGCCAATGTGAAATAAAAACGTTAATATCTTTGTTAGGAGTTGGTTTCAGTAATTTTCGTTGTAAGAAGCGTGTTTTACGTGAAATTCTGATTAAGAAACATGTATCAGATTGCTTAANACTGGATCTAGAGTCCAGACTCTTGAAAACGTTGACAAGAAAAAATACTCTTGATTCAATCAGATTTAAGCTGAAATCAAAAGGAAATCCGCTCAAATTAAGAGGCTAGGTTCTTGATTTAAGCTTAAATCTGATTGAATCAAGAGTATTTTTTCTTGTCGATGTTTTTAAGAGTCTGGACTCTAGATCCAGTGTGTTTTTTTTTTTCCAGTGATGTCATTTTCAATAATGTGATACTTTGGCCGGAAGGTGACGATGTCATCCCAGTTTTCAGGTGATAAAGTTGGATGCAAAAGCGACGACTCACCGTTGCCTTGGACACGAGGACACTACCCCTCTTTGTGGTGGTGGGCCTGGGGGTGGTGGTAGAGGTAGTGGGCGCCTCTGTTGTGGTGGTGGTCGTCGTCGTCGTCGTGGTGGGCGCGGGGGTTGTAGTGGTGGTCGTGGTTCTGGTCGTGGTGCGGTATTGCTTGACGGCGGGCGAGGGGCGCGCGGTGGGCGCCAGGGGCGGCACCGGCGACGCCTTGGCCACCTCCGCGTAGCCCACTCCGGCGCCCAGTTCCAGTGTTGGACTGATGGCGTCGTCTATGGCCGCAGTCGAGACCGAGGCCACGCCCACTGGCTCTGTCTTCCCCTTGCAAACAAGATCTGTAATCAAAAATAACACGTGGAGGGTGGTTATGACAGGGCAGGGTGTCTACAAGTCCGGAATTTCCGACAAGTTCGGAAATAGTTTTGATTTTTTAAGAGCGGTCCGGAAATACTGAAAAAAAGCGGAAATTCTGCTTGAAGGTCCGGAATTTTTCATTTTTGTCGCAATTTGAGAGAGAAATTCAATTTTTTTTAAATGTAGGTTTGAAAAAAAAATTGGACTCAGAAAAAAAATCACAACCGAGAAAAGGCGACAAAATCTCTTATTTCCTGAGAGTAAAGTGATTTTTAATTTTGTCGTCTTTCAGTGATACAAGAGTCAGAACTTTTAATTAGTTGAGTCAAGAGAGAAACCAAACACGCAATTTGGCCTGGAACGGCGCGGCGCAGAGAGCAATGATGACGAGGACTTGAGATGAAAAAGAGAAGCCATCGGCGCGGCGGTCGGCATGTAACACATATTAGCGCCTACAATACTGCATGAATACTTCACGCATTACGTCAAACACAGTGCGTGCAGCAGCGGTCGGCGTGAAACGCGTAGCGCCTATAAGACTGCAGGAATACCTCTCGCATTGCGCCAAACATAGTGCGATCAGCGCGGCGCGGCGGTGGAGGTTAAGATAATTAAACCACATTAATGTTTGTTTTTTCATACTTTTTTCGTTCATTTCTTATAAATGGAAGGCCTTGACCACGTAGAGATAAGTTTACGGAACTTAACTTTTGTGCAAAGTTCCGTGGACTGTTGCCAGTAGTGTTGACAGGGCTTTCGCAAAAAAATGTGTCCCACACGAGTAAACGCGTCTTATACACCCCTCCCCATCCGGCACGCTCTTTCGATGGCTTTCATTGATGTTTCAAAACGAATGTATAGGGGGCGGCAAGCAGGTAAATCCGGCCCTGTTTGTTGGAATGCCTTTCTGTGCTCCTCCCCAGACCCTTTCTGGTCACCCTAAAAACCAATGTATTGGTTTTAATCCTACTCTTACTTCCTTACAGATCAACCCTCTATTATTTTGATTATGTATGAAGGGAATCATTTACGTAACAAAATTTTTAATTTTCTTTAGTTCGATGAGGTGAAAATGATTACTCCTCCGAAATGGTAATGTTCACCATTTATTCATTCTTAATTGCTCCGTAAGTTCAAAATTCGAACTCCGTGCTAACGTTTGCGCCAATGACTTTAGTTTCACTATATTTTCCCCAGCCTATCGTGACAGTCAACAATATTGCCCTGCTAAGGAAGAACGCCGTATGAACATTCGAGGGCTGCCACATTTCCTTCGATAAAACGTTTATTTTTGAGGAAAATGTTGAACATTTTTCCTTGACATTTTCAGAAGTTTTAGATCAAATTACAAACAAAATCATCTGAGAAACTGGATTACAAATATTCAAAAATGTTCCTGAAAATTCGTGATTTATTAAAGGAAATTTGACAACACCTGAACGCACATACGGCGTTCTTCCTTAGCACGGCAGAATAATCAGTTGTAACAATATCAGTCGTAATTAGAGGCATGGGGTCAGATCTAATACTTTCTCGCTCTTGTTGGCCCGAGTTTTCAATTGGACTAAAAAGTGTCCCCAAAACGGTTTTCAATTGCGCGTTGTTTTCCTTTCAGACTTCAACAGGAATAATAGACGTTCAACACTGATCCGTCTCCTCATAAACTCGTGCGTTTTGTTCGTTGACTCCGTTTTCAGTTTCGTTGCAATTAGTCGGTCATTTGCGTTGCCGCGTTTCCACGAAAAATCTTTGCTCATGAACGCACAAGGAATTTTCTCTGGAGACTTTTGGAATTGTGAGGCTCCCCCCCCCCCCCCCCCCCCCCCNGGGTCGCTTTATTTTTTCCTCTTTTTTCATAATTTTTTCTTCGTACACCTCGTTCACTATTTTTTCGTCCTGCACATCTATTGCCAATGATTTTCTCTGAAAATATTTGTCAATGCTCATATTTGTTTTCTTTCACTCCGTTTCAAAAAGAAAAAAATTACGTCCTTGTTTTTTTTTCTCCAAATTAGTGGTAAGGTTTTTTCAACGGATGCGATAAAACTTTACTCCATGATTGAAATATGGTAGCATTATGAAGAACATGCACAGCAGCGCTACCTTTGACTTGTAAGTACACATTTCACTGGAAAGAAAAGCGGGCCGATTATAGAAATTGATAGACAAAGCCATAGGGAAAGAAGATAAACTACTGAAACGGAGCGACCGTATCGGCGGAAGCGGGTGGTTGCAATGGGCAAAGGATGCGAGTAATCAACCCGAGAGAGACCGTATATAGTTAGTCTATCATATTCCACCTTAGTCTATAACAATTATTTATTCCAACCAATAGGATCGCTCCATGTTCCCGATGTCTTCTTTGTCTATCGTTTCGTGTATCAAATTCAACATACAGCCGGCAGTCGCGATTTTGAAAAGTCGACAACAGTCGTTTTTCCCCCTTTTGAATTCACGAATTGTAATATATCGATCCTAGCCGAGGCCACCTGCTTCGATGCATATCGATTGTTTTACACGCATTCAAATGAGCTCGTGNGGGGGGGGGGGGGGGGGCGTTTGTTATCGTCGACGCGGGAGCACGGGCTCGTGTGGGCCACTTATTTTTGGGTCAGATGAAAACGCTGCGATAACCCGCGGTTCGGTGCCCCTGTTCTGCCGTGCTAAGGAGGAACGTCGTATGAACATTCGAGAGTTGCCGAATTTACGCGAATAAACCATGTATTCTGCTGTGCTAAGGAAGAACGCCGCATGAACATTCGAGAGTTGCCAAATTTCCCTCGATAAAACATGTATTTTTTACAACATTCATGCATAGTTTTCCTTGAAATTTTCAAATATTTTAGATTAAATCGCGAAAAAAATTGTCTGATAACTTTGAAGAAAAATATTCCCAATTTTCCTAGTAAATTCGGTTTTTATCGAAGGAAACTTGACAACGTCTGAAAGCTCGGACGGCGTTCTTCCTTTCCACGGCAGTATTGGTAAGGAAATTTTGCATAGTGTTACTTGACATTTTCAAATATTTTAGATTATATCGCGAACAAAATCGTCTGAAAGCTTTGGAGAGAAATATCCACAATTTTCCCATGAAATTCGTTCCTGGTCAAAGGAAATATGGCAACGTCTGAAGGCTCATATGACGTTTTTCCTTAGTGTTCTGGTGGCTGTATCCTCCTTCAATTACCCGCCCGAAATCGAGAGTAGGCGTTATCGCGGAACAATCGTCGCCGTCGGTGGCGTGGCGTCGTCGTCGCGGTGGACGCCCGGCGTCGCGACGCCCGGGCCGGGTGCGTCGCCCGTGACCCGTCGCGCGCCGAACCGCGACTCTGCCAGGCGCCGCTGCTTCGCTTCGTGGATTTCGCGCTCTGCAGGCAGCCGCGGGTCAGTTTAAGGTCCTTTTCCAGCGAGAGTCGAGGTGGATCTTCAGCTTCGGTCTCAAGAAAAAAGGAAAGCACCGAACCTCCAACTCCGACTCTAAAATCTACGATTTGGACGGATTTAATCAGAATCAGCATAACTGCATCTTACGTTATTGCCGAATTTCCTCTTGTGTTATATGAAGCTCTTGGAAGAAAAGGCGCATAAGTGCAGTTTTTTAAAAAAAAATCGCATTGGAAAAAAAAAAAAACACATTGGATCTAGAGTCCAGACTCTTAAAACATCGACAAGAAAAAATACTCTTGATTCAATCGGATTTTTGTTTAAATCAAGAATCAAGCCTCTTAATTTGAGCGGATTTCCTTTTGATTTAAGCAAAAATCTGATTGAATCAAGGGTATTTTTCTTGTCAGTGTTTTCAAGAGTCTGGACTCTAGATCCAATTGGTTTTTTTCCATTGGTTTTTGGTTTTTTTTTGGTTTTTTATTAATTCTATCATGTGAAACTAGTCTTAATGCGAATTTTTTAAAAAATTCGCTCCCAAATTCCAATTCTTAAGCATCAAAAAGTCAGTTTAAACTTTCTTTCCGCCAGAAGGATCCATGTAATTTCGAAACTTCAAACACATATAAGGACCATAAAGGGACTCTAGGCCCGAAGAGCTCCATATCTGGACACGTCTGCACTGAACCCATACAGAGACTGTTATGCTTACCGTCGGCCTTGATGTTGTAGAAGCTCTTGTCCCGGAGATGGGCGGGGGCGGCGCAGAACTGGGGGTTGCGCTCGCGGCTGGTGACCTGGAGGTCGCCGTGCTTGATCCACTCGATGACCCACTTGAGGCGGCAGTCGCACTGGAGGAAGTGCCCGCCGAGGCTCAGGCCGCGGAGCGTGTCGTTGAGGTGGGCCAGGGTGTTGACCGGGATCGTGGCGATCGGGTTCCCGTCCAGGGCCAGCAGGGTCAGCGACGGGTTCCCGGAGAACGCCTCCGAGGGCAGCGTCGTTATCAGGTTGAAACCGATATCCAGGACCTGCAACCCAATCGACCAAACTTAGAATCATCCTAATCTTGATGGTAGCACTGGAAAAAAAATCTCTTGGATCTAGAGTCCATACTCCTAAAAACATCGACAAGAAAAAATATACTCTTGATTCAATCGGATTTTTCCTTGAATCCAAGAGCCAAGCCTCTTGATTTAAGTAAAAATCCTGTTGAATCAAGAGTATTTTGTCTTGTCAATGTTTTTAAGAGTCTGGACTCTAGATCCAAGCGAATTTTTTTTCTAGTGAATGTTTGAAACTTACAGGCGGCAAATGCGCCTGAGAATTCGGTCATGGTGCCTAAAAAAATGAAGGCTCTTCGCCAACGTGGCCCCTAAAAATTGTCCCCTCCCCCTTTCTGAATGAAAATCCTAATTTTTCTGTTCGGCGATTTTTTCAAATGTCGACGCACGGCACCGGATTCTGATTTTTCACTTAGTGCGCCGTGATATACAGGCAAAATGTCTATTTGGCCCCTAAAAAACCTTCAATGGCCCGGATTAACAGCAATAAGCCTACCAGTGGCGTAGCGTGATTTGTGATGTATCGATTGATCTGTCATTTAAACCTATGAGGATCGATTAACAGGGTGTTCGTGATGAGCACTTCAATGATCGATTCTTTACCACAGCTTCAAATGGGGTAATATCGATAATCAATCATTCACGCTCACCACTGAAGTCGACATTATCTCTCTAAAGAGCAGTATTTTTGCTGCCTCGTGCAAAATGGCATCTAAGGGTGCTCACAAGTCCGGAATTGGCACTGATTTTTTAACAACGGTCCGGAAGTACTGAAAAAGTGCCGAAAATCCGCAAGAAGGTCCGGAATTTTTTTTTCATTTTTGTCGCAATTTGAGCGAGAAATTCAAATTTGTGAAAATTTTCGAATTTCGTCAATTCGTCAAAGGGACTGAAAAAGAACTAAATTTGTCGGTCGAGGAGGTACTGAATTTCTTGGGAATGCACTGTAAAAGTACTTATTTTTGGCTAGCCTGTTTTAGTAGACATCCTGCATCTTTTTTTACCGATTTCCTTTGATTGACAAAGCTTTCTAGGACACATTCGTAGTATTAAGCTCCAATTAGAATCGGCTGAACATAGAAAACCAGGGCAAGAAACTTAAGTTCTTGGAAGTAAACATTTTTACTCGAAAATTCTTCTCAGAGTTCAGACGTTGTCCCTTACCCTAAGCTCGGAGAGCGTGTTTATGGCAGCAGACGGGAATTCAGTGAGGAGATTATTGAGCAAACTGAGGGAGCTGAGTGTATTCTTGACGCCGACAAAAGTGGTAGGCCCAACTGCTTGGATAACATTTCTCTCCAGGTTTAGCGCGGTGAGAGAGTCTAGACCCTGTAACAAAAATGTAATAATTTTGCATTTATTTATGTTTTTGGAGTACACATGTCGCAGGCAATTTGCAAGCGGTTCACACATTGTTTCATTAAAGCGCAATAATGCGCATCGGCATAATGCAATTTTTAAGGGTTACGGTCTTCAAAAGCATGAGCTCGGCTTGAAGCGCCTTCATTTTGTGTGATACTCTACGTTTTGTCACGATGTCAGTTTAGTTGCCTGTCCGATCTCAAACCAACTAATGTCACGGAGTTCCCTACACGCTCTTCTGAGTTTGCATATTCCTACCAGGTTTTTAAGGAGAGAAAAGTGTTTATTCACATTATAGGCGTCATAATCAGCACTCTAATCTTGTTCTTTTAGTTTTGCATTTTATGATTTTCTATATTTATTCAACACTGGCTTGTGAATTGCCGGCGATTGCCAATTGCCTGCGACATGTAGAAGGTTTAAAGTAACTGAATTGGGTGAATTTTCTTCTTTTTTAAAGATGAAACAAAAACCATGCATTTAGGGGTTAATTTCGCAGCATCCAGCTCAAAAAAACATAGAAATATCGCGAAAGAACACTCTAAGAGCTTTCAAAGCTATTACATTCACGTATCTTCTCCTTGACTGCGCCACATTTGTCTCTGAATCTCTCAGAATGAAAATAAGAGACTTTTAAGGCCGGAAGCTTTAGGCACACCTTGTAACCTCTTTGTGAGCTCGTGTGCGTTGAAATCCCCGTGTAATAAGCCAACTTTTTAGTTTTTTCTCGGTAAGAAATCCAGGAAATTCTTAACATTTTGTCCTAAATCATTAGAATGCAATCGTTTTCTTATCATATTCCTCGGCAAGAAATCCTGGGAATGGGTTAGTCGCGCTGGCCATAGAATCGTGTTGTGGTGTTTGATTATTGTAGATTGGCTAAAAATAATAAGATCTGTGCAAACCACAACTTTCTACGTTCAGTATTAACCGAGATATCGCCCTTTGAAAAGTCGGGTTTTTGACGTCATCCACCGCGGTAGTAACACCCTTGGTTCATCAGTTAGAGAGACACACATTAGCACTGGTTACTCCACGTGAAACGCGGATGAAAGCAAGGTGGAAGAAACCAAGGATGTCACTACCGCGGTGGATGACGTCAAAAACCCGGCTTTTCAAAAGGCGATATCTTGGTGAATATTGAAGGTAGAAAGTTGCGTACTTGGACAGATCTAAATATTTTTAGCTAATCTACTAGAATCAAACATCAAAACACGATCCTGTGACCAGCACAAATGGACCATTCCTAAAATTGGGTCCTATATTATTAGAATGCAATCGTTTCCATATCGCATGTCGCATCCAAGCATTCCCGAAAGAAGTTGAATTCTTACCTGGAAGACACCAGAACTACCGGTTCCTGGTAGCTCGGATAGGATGTTGTGTGCGAGGTCGAGAAAAGCTAGGGCGCTAAGTCCTCGGATGGCCTCAGGGATGACCTTCTGGCGGGTGGCCTTGAGGTTGAGGTTCTTGAGGGAGGTCTCGAGGCCGCGGAAGGCGTGGCGGGACAACGTGACGTTGTTGTCGGCCAACTTCAGGGTCCCCAGGTTCGTGAGCCACGCGAAGGCATCGTCCGGCACCTGCGTCAGTTTGTTCCGCGACAGGTCCAGCAGGGTCAGGTTCTTCAGCGCTTTCAGCGATTCCACCGGGATGTCCTCAAGCTCGTTGTCCTTGTAGACGAGAAAAACATAAAATTAGAACTTGACTTTGAAATTGTCTTGCCTTAATTTATAGTAGGACTATATTCAGGTTGCCACAGTCAGGGAATACCGGAAAAACTGAGAATTGTCAATGAGGGGATTTTAGTGGAACAAACTTGACAAAAAGCTGAATTTTTTGCCATCGATTATGTACTTCAAAAGGAGTGTTTTCCAAAAAGTCCTCACTTTTACCCCCTTTGCTAACCCTTCCTTCCCCACCATCTCTGAAGTGCAAAAGTTACCCCTCTTTTGAAACCTCTCTATCTCATCGCCTAATTGAGACAGTAGATCGCGCTTTCTGTCTTAAAACACTCCTTACCTATCTGTTGCGGACTCTTAATATTTTTCAGTTTTGAATCTTAAGAGCACTTTAAATTGGATTTTTTCGAAAAAACTGAAATTTTTGGAGCTATATCATGGGTGGTGGTAGACACCTCCGGACAAAGTCTAAACACGGCAACAATGGAAGCAGTTTGAAAAAAGGTGGCAGCCAACCATAGACATACATAGCTCCCTAAATCTGCAAATTGATTCGATTTAGAATGGAATCCAGTCCAAACGGTGGCACGGAATCCAACGACCTCGGTGTCTATGGAATTAGCTAAGTTATGCGGATGGCGTTTCAGGGTAGGAAATTACCTGTAGGTTGAGGTTCTTGAGGGTATGCTCGAGGCCGTTGAAGGCCCCGGGGGCGATGGAGCGGATCCTGCAGCCGGAGAGCTGGAGGCTGAGCACGTGGATGTTGAGGAAGGCGTTCTCCTGGAGGAGCTTGACGGAGCTGTTGTTGACGTAGAGGAAGTCGAGCGGAACCGAGCGGGCGTACTTGTCGAGGGCTTTCAGCAGGAGCGGGAAGTCGACCATGTCGCACTGGACGCTCAGCTGTTGGCCGAGGTTGTAGGCGCAGATGCAGGCCGACTGGAGCTCCGATAGCTCCCGCTGCCACGGGCATTGCGCCGCCGCCAGCCCCACCCGCAGCACCAACAGCGTCGCCACCGCCTCAAGCAGCCATGCCATCACGCCTCACGCCTCCTGAAACACGCCAAAATACCGGTTATAGTTCACGCTATAGACCAATATGACGAGAATCACCCAGCGGACTCATTATTGAAATTGATTAGTGAAAGAAGACAAAGGAGAAATGGAGCAACACTATTGGTGGTAGTGGGAGGTTGCAACTGTGGCGAGGCGTTAATGATCGATTATCGATATTCCCCCATTTGAAGCTATGGTAAAAGATCGATCATTAAGATTTTCGCTGCGAACACCCTGTGTATCGATCCTTTTCCATAGATTTGAATGACACATCGGATCAAATCGTTAGATTCATACATTGTTATTGTTCCTATCCATGCGTTTGAGTCTCCAGGAAGGGCCATTTTACATTTGCTTATGAGACACTTCGATACATCTCATACATTTAAGTATCCGCAAGGGGCATCTCAATGTTTCTTATTGAGGCGTGAATGATCAATTATCGATATTTCCCCATTTGAAGCTATGGTAAAAGATCGATTATTAAGATTTTCGCTGCGAACACCCTGTGTACCGATCCTTTTCCATAGATTTGAATGACAGATCGGATCAAATCGTTAGACTCATACATTGTTAATGTTCCTATCCATGCGTTTGAGTCTCCAGGAAACGTCATTTTTACATTTGTTCATGAGCCACTTCGATACATCTCATACTTTTAAGTATCTGGAAGGGGCATCTCAAAGTTTCTTAATGGGTCATTTAGTTGTCTCTCTTGTAATTGAGTGCGGCTGGAAATGAAAATTTTAAGTTTTTTAACCGCAAATCTAAAGCGAATATTGGACGATCTAGATGTGACTTTTCCATTGAAATCATCCTGAAGAGTAGTTTTATCGAGTTGATACAAAATCCAGTCGTTAGAAGGAATCAGTCCCGAGGAGAATACTTCTTATGGTTTATATATCATCACCTTCCGGTTAAAAAATCACAAGCGGCATGCGACGTTTCAAAATTTCGATTTAATTAATTTTTCTACAGAGAAATATTTGTTTGAGTCGGTTTGAAAATTTCACTAAACTTTATCGGCAGCACAAAGAAAATTCAGTGAAGTTTTCGGACAGCTTCGTTGAACAATTTATCTGCGAAAAAATGAAATGGCGGCAGAAAGTTCGAAACATCGCATGGCGCTTGTGATACTCTTACCAGAAGATGACGATATAAGGCCCCTCGAAGTGATTTCAACTTAAAGTTGCAATGAATGGACGCACCGAGCAATTTTGGAGACCGAAAGAATCTCACCGTCCGAAATAACCGGTTACGCGAACCGGCCACACATCGCGAGAACACCCCTTTCGTTACGTCACGTACGAGTCCACACAAGTAAATAGTCAAACGTCACAAAAGCATCATAACCGTAACGCGGTATCATTAAGATAATGACCATATCGTCGCAACGCGACTTTATCGGGGGCGTTATCGGAGGGGGAGGGGGGGCGTTATCGGGGTAACCGATACGCATTAAGGATTCCGCAACAGTTTTGAAGCTTCGCGTACGACTCCATTAATGTCCTTTTGATTGAAAGTTTATGACGGTTCCTTCTTCATGACTCTATCCCGAGCAGCATCCGTCGCTTGGCCAAGGATTTTTCGGTGGCACTGACAAAGCTTTCGGTTCTACGCGTCGCTTGCGGTTTTCTGGTTTTGTCCTCTTGGTGCCGTAGCTCGAGGTCTCCCGATAGTAGTTTTTAATTTCGTCGTTTTTTCAGACGGTTGAACGGTGTTGTTCGGAGGATCATCAAGGATGAGTCGGATTATTGTGGTTGTTGTCAGGTCTATTATGACTGCGTTACCGTGCTAAGGGAAAACTCCGTATAAGCATTTTAAAGTTGTCGAATATTCCTCAATGAAATGTTCATTTTGAGAACAATTATGAATATTATTCTTCCAAAGCAACATTTTAAATTTTTTTTTTAGTGCGAAAAAAATCTTAAAGATCGAAAAAAGAATATTTAAAATTTCCTCAGGAAATTCGCTTTTTATCCTAGCAAATTTGGCAAAGACCTGAAAAGAAATCTGTACGTAAATGATAGCGCAGGTGACAAAAAATGTGAACTCTGAGCTTACATTTTTAATTTTACGCCTTTTTCAAGGTCTGATTCTATATTTTGAACTGAGATCTGGTGCTTTAAACGTTCTCCACGTTCTGGGATGCATATCCCAGATGACGCTCAAACTCATGAAAGGCCTAAAAAATTCGGTGTTCTACGAAATGTGTAAGTCTCCAAATGGCTGCACCGCTATCTTGCATCTATAAATGAAATCGTGACTCTGAACCACCTCATTGCGTTTCAACAGCTCTCCGCCTCCATCTCGAAGGTCGAAATGAATATTTTTGGAGAATGCATGAACAAAACTTACGCCAACATCGTGTTTTTGGTGTACGACTGTATTAAAATAATTTCCAACTAAGATGCCTTGTCAGCGGAGACAAAATTTTGCAACTAAAAAACGCATGTAGAAGGAAGCTCTGCGATTCTCTCTCAGGACGAGTCTTAATATTTGTTTTGCTTATCATTCAGGATTCCGCTATCGATGCACAATTCGTCGTTTTCCCCACAAAAGAACGTAACTACATCTCAATGTTGCCAAATTATCCCTCTCAAATTGAATTTTTATTAGGAGAATCGGTACGGAGAATCATGGATGCCAAACAGAACATAGTGCATAACATTATGACAAGACAATTTATTCGGTATGGTCACGCTCATGGCAGAAGGCATTTGCCAAATAAGGCCTTCTATTGGGTTCCTTCCGGTAGAGGGCGCCCAATGAGAGGTTGGAGGGATGGGATTGAAGTGGAAATGTTAAGGTACTCGGTGCCGGAAGGGTTGTGGTTCGCCAGGGAGCAATGGAGGTTAGGTGTCGCAGAGCGCCAGGGAGTGCTATAAAGTGACGTATACAGGATGTATGTATGTATGCATGTATCAGGAGAATCTTGGGCATTTCTAACTAAAATTTCACCAATTTTTCCTTTGATCTTTCGCAAAAATTAGAAACGTTTTAGACAAAAATTACACGAGTTCATTCTTGCAAAAAATTTAAATGTTTAAGTCAATTATGAAATGACCTGGATACACGCTCAAATTTTCATCAATTTCCGATCAAATGGTGACTGGTACGCACCATCTACCATCAAATTTTTGCGGCCTGCATAAATTTGACCGTCATTTTTGTCATCATTTTGATCGGAAAATGACGGAAATTTGAGCGTGTAAACAGGCCTCAAGTTTAGAATTGAGGATTCCTCCGCCCGGAAAACGACGAACTCTGTGGCAAGCGCAATCAACACATTTTGCAAAAGAATCAATCAAGTTGTGTCCGGAGACCCAGTATCGCAGCTCGCTTTAAAAAAAAATGGACCGCTTCTACCTCAGCGTCACCATCAATTTTCCCGCCGACTCCTCGGCCAATCCGTCACCCGATTACAAAATCCCCCAACATCTACCATATCGAATCAAAACCGCGCAAACCCTACGTTAACTCAAAGCAGATACGCGGGGTTTTCGGGTCCCCCCGAAGCGAGTCCCGAATGATCTCGGCGAGGAGTCGCGGACCCCGGGATTACGTAGAGCCCCCCAGCTGGACGCCTAATCCTCGATCCTGGTTGCAACATGCTCGAATCAGGCTCCGATCTCCCAAAACTGATTGTTACTTTTCCACGGTGTAACCNGGGGGGGGGGGGGGGGCTCTCATCCCCGGGATTTGGCCGCTTTTGTTCTGGGCGAGGATTTTAAGGTGCAGGTCGGACCGACCGCTTGTTTGTCGAGTGGCATCGCCCGGGTAATTAGTTTACTGAAATACGGCCTGAGTTTGCCAAACTGCCGGTGGATTATGGACAGGGTTGCCACCGCTAGGGAATACCGGAAAGTGTTAGGGAATTTTCAAAAGTCAGGAAAAACCTGGAAATGTCAGGGAAAATTACGAAAATGTTAGGAAAAAATCCTCGAGTCACCTTTCCAGAATAGGTTTGACGTTTCGAACAACAAATTTGCCGCACAACTGTTTCTAAGTGTGTCCTCTTCACCATCTGGCATTTGTTCTATTATCAGGGAATTTCACGAAAATGTGTCAGGGAAATCAGGGCGATTTCAGGGAATTCCATCTTCTTAATTCTGTGGCAACTTTGTATAGGGGAAGGAGGCCCGAAAAGAGACGGAAAATTGGATCTAATTCTGCAAATAGGAACCAGCGCGATTACACTGTTTTCAAAATTGTAAAACTTCTCCTTTTTTTAGAAAAAGTACTTGATATATATGTACAGTATCAAATGTTTCACAATTATTTTCCTTTAAAATTACCAAGTTTTTCGAGGGGAGCCAAAACTATTTGATATTCTGGGATATATTTTAGAATATTATGAAGAAGGAAAATTTTTACAACTGTAAAAATTTTCCTTCTTCATAATATTCTAAAATATATCCCAGAATAGTAAATAGTTTTGTTGTATTGTAAGCTAATTTAACCACGGAGGTGGTTAAAGTAGCATTTTTTGGTTGTAAAATCTACTTTGAAACATTGCAGTCACATTTTTTTAGCAATTGAATCGTTAAATCAGCAATTTAATTTTTTCCGTGAACACTGTAATCACGCTGGTTTGCTTTTTTGCTAAATTCAAATCCCATTATCGAATCATTACACTCGTCTTAAAATATAGACCTTCAATAAGCGAAAATTGTAAAGATGAGGAAATTTCGTCAGGGTGTGCCCAAAAACGGCCCTTATCGGTGTCCCTTCTTATCAAAAATGGAACCATATTTTGATGGTGGCCCTCTCATTTGCCGGAAAAATTGGGGCGTGGAGGTTAAGCCCCCTTGAAGTGGGCACAATCAATTTTCCCCGTTAATACGTGGTCTCCAGGCTATAGTTTATCTCCGAAGGCACCACTCCCCCCGTCTAAATTTCCGTAACTCGGCCGGCCTCGTAATTAACGACACCTCATTCTAGGAACGCACGCCCGTGCCGAGCTCCGCTCCGAAATCGGGAGCCGGGAGGCGTCT